AGTAAAAGCGGCCGTCGTCACCGCGGTGGCGCGAGTTGTTAGCGGCACGTGCACCGTGGAAAACCGGCGGAAAAGTGGGAAGGCTCTACATATGCATATATATATATATATATGTATACGTATGGAAAGTTTCCCGTAACTTTGCTGATTGTATCGGGCGAGCGATGCATAATCCAATGGAAACGATGACGGGGAAGACGTATGGGGATAAAAACCGTAAAGCAGGGCGTAAGCTTTCCCGCTTATCCGATCGCGCTATCCTCTCCCAAGATTTTCCAACAACTTTCCCTTAAATCGTAAATACCAAGTTTGACGTTAACGATAAGCGATATGAAGAGGAGGAAGACGAGAGAGAGAAAATTCTACATCAATTTCTTGAACGAGCGAATCACAACGATTTTCTTCGTTCTTCAAACTCGAATTCGCGTTCGAATATCATCGTAACGAACGTAAGAGAAAGAACGTAAGAGGAGGCGAATATCGAATTCGAAAGTAAATGGAATTCGGAAAGGTTCGAAATGGGAATTAATTAAAAGGCGACGTCGATTGTCGCGCCGCCACGTAGGTAAACACATTCGCGAATTAATTTTCCGAAATAAACGTTGAAACGGGAAGATCCAGCCGTCTGCGCGAGTCGGGTAGTTCCATTTCGTGGCAGAATAGTTTTCAAACACCTAACTCCCCTCTCCCGACATCCTTTCTAGTTACACGGACATTAAAAGTACTACTTAGAGTGGCAGCAGTTATATGTATAGGAGGCGGGGGGAGGAATGGGGGGAGAAAGGTAAAAGCTAAAACAATTAGCCGCGCAGCAGTTTCCACGGGGGGTTGAAAGAGGCGAGAAATAGAGAGAAAGAGAGGGAGAGAGGGATGAGTGGTAGAAGCGCGGGAGAAAGTCTCTGATTCACGGAAATTTCTCTTCCTTTTCGGAGGGCAGACAGGACCCGGGTTCTCGCGAAAAATGTAATTAAATCTCCTCGAGAGCGGGGCACACTCGTTAACAAAGTTCAGCCGCTTACGCGAAAAGGAGTACTCGATCAAAAGTACGACTCCGTGGCTGGATACCGGCACTTCTTTCCCATTACTTTCCCCTTACTTTTCCCTGCTTTCCCCGCCCGATCCTCGTTTTTACGCATCCCGTGACCGCTCGTTCCCGCCTAATGGACCGAACGGGGATGCGAGGAAAAGGCGAGTTTCGCGATTCGTGTTGGGAGAGAGGTGGATTCGTTTGGATAAAATGTTTCCAAAGTTGAATGTTAACGAGACTCGGATGGATCGAGATTTGATGGGATGATCGTAAGAACGGAGAAGAAATTTTCGTACAAGTTTTGGCTTAATAAAAATTAGATTGAAAGCGTTTTTCGCGATTTGTTTCGTCTCTCTTCCCTTATAATAATTTATCATCCCATAATAAAAATTCCTCCGATATTGATTATTTGTAACGAATGTCTTGTTAATATCTAACATTAAGTTGATAGTAGAGAATAAATCGATTTTTTCCCAAACGATTATTTACCAATTTACCAATAATAATAAATAATCGATATCGATTTATATTATATCGATTGCAATTGCAAAATTGTAAAGGTACTCGACCGACATGGCACAGGAGAGATGGAAAACGAAAACAGGATAATCCGGAGAATAGGCCATCGGCGAAGCGCAAACGGTGGCTCGATTCGAAATCGTTGCAATCTACGATCTATCCCCCCTTGCGCCTCTATTTTTCGAGCCAGGGTATGCGCATGATCGTTTATTCGGGCCGAATTGTAGCAACCGGATCGAAATCCAGGGTATTGTGGTAAAGGGTACAACATCGTATCAACGACACTTACCGCACAGCCCATCGATGCACGGGCATATTCCACGTCCTCCAGAAGATGTCGATGTTGTGCGCGTTCCACCAATCGCAATAGAAATTTCGATCGGCGAAATGCAACAGTTCACCGACCAGATTCAGAAGCGAGTGGAACATCAAGTAGAAGAAACATAGCCAGACCAGATGATTCGGTATCTGCGGGAAAAAATACGAAATTATATTTTTGAAGCGGCAAAAAGAAAAAGGAATATAAAAATTCTTTCGCTTCGTTTAACGCAAATTTAAATTTCTTCACAAATGTAAGTTGATCGAAACTTCTTTTTTTTTTTTTTACACGTTCTTTGTTCTCATTCGTTCTCATTCTCGTAAAAGAATCGATCGCTCGAAAACGTCCCGCGATATTATATCATAAAACCCGTGATATATAAAAAACGTGTACGTGGAAAAAAAATAGTATCGGGGATTACAATGAGAATCATACGTCAGAGGGTGAACATTCATTTGAGGGAGGAACGATACCCCGGCAAATGGAAGTCACTTTCATCTTTTCTATTACCGCGGGTGAAATGTTTTTCACGCGATGTATCGTTTCAAGCGCGTTGATCTTTGTTAGATCGCGACTGTACAACACGCGAGGGCCGTATAGCCGACGGCCACGCCGATATTTTATTTCCTTTTGTTTCGTATCTCTCCCGGCCCCGGGAACGGCTCGTTAATCCGACTCGAATTCACGTCTCTCGATATTCCATTCCTCTACCCTTCCGGCGCTCCGTGCAATTTCACGTAATTCTTAACCAGTGTTCGCCGCCAACTCCGCGCGGAAATGAGTGGGGGAGGGAAAAAGGAACGGCGGAGGAAAGGAAATACGATACAGTTGTCGAGGCGTAACGCGTCTGCCAAGAGGGAACGGTGCATCGGTGCTTGTTTCGCGTTTTCGAATATTTAAAATGACCCCCTAATGGCGAGACAAAGGAACAAGGGGGAAGATGAAGAGAAAGAGAGAGAGAAGGAATTAAAGCCAGCCGAGATAATTCCACGCTCGAGTCCACGCGCGACTCGTTATTTGCCCCATCCCTCTCCGTTTACCAGGGGTTGTCGAAAAATGGCGAGGAAATGGTATCGCCGGCCGGGAGGACACGATCGTTGGAGAATAAAAAAAAAGAAAAAAAAGAAGAAAAAAAAAAAGAA